GGTACAATTATATATAGTGATTATTGGGCTGGTTATGATTTAAAGTGGTTGAATTAAACTTCACTCATTATACAGTCAACCACTCCCAAAATTTTGTTGATCCTGTGACTGGAGTTGTACAAATCATATTGAATCAACATAGAATGTAGTGGAAAGATCCCTTCCTCACTATGGTACAACAAAAGGATTATACAACTTTTACTTTCAAGAATATATTTGGCGAAAAATATATATTGAAAGAAAGGAAGCTGCATTTAATATTCTATGCAGTCATATTAAACTATACAATCAAGATAATGCTGTTATAGTAGAATAAATATTATATTTGATTTTGTACTTAAAAATAATTGAAAATAATATACTAGAACAATATAGTAATGAGGTGGCATGCCCATGTAAGCAATGAGGTGGCATGCAAATCCTAAATAAAAGGGGGTGCTGTATTGTGCATTCTACCCCAGGAGCCTATGGATGCGATGGGGCTCTCCAGGCAGCTTGTTCTTCCACAAACTTTTGGGTACTTCTCGATGCATTTTTTGTCAATTTCTTCTTCTTTTTATTTCTCCCTGAAAATGTAGATCGATCTATCTCGGAGAGACGTTTTGTAGCTACATCAGTGTCGGGAATCACACGAATCACGATGTGAGAGATGTAATCATCAAAGTAAGTTCTATCCAAGTTTTGATTCTCTTGTATGACTTTGTGCTCTTTTGTTCTTAGGCAGAGCTCCAGACTGAGCGTCAAAGGATTATTCTAAGCAACAACTCCAAGTCCCCGATCGAGTCCATCAGAGCGACTGGCCAATTTGATTTTATCATCGAGCACGACATCAAAGAACTTGGAGGACATACGTAAGTTCCCATCATATAAGCTCATATGGATATCTAACATTTTGATTGACCTTAGGCTTGTTTGCATGGCAGTGTACACTGATCCAGACGGTGATCGTAAATATCTTCCGCAATACTTCAAGTTCACGACCTCTAATCCAGTTTCCGTCAGAACAAAGGTATTTGATCTCTACGTATTTTGCTATGTTTTTATCGGCACTTTACAGGGTAGAACAGTCAAGGTAGGCCCTATGCTGCAAGCTTTTACTTTTCTAGCGTTTGAACACGACAGGATACAACATTTCTCGAGGCGTGCATAGAAAACCAAACCAAGTCTCACCTCTTTATGGACCAAGTTAGATTTGACACTGCACCGCCTTGGAGTGTCACGACTTTGGAGAACGTAGTGAATCAGATGGTCCCATCAGGTAAGAAGATGGAGCTTTACTATCAGCAACTTTGTTTGGTAATTCTGCTCTCTTTTCTTTTCTTTTTTCCCTAGCGGCTATATCAAGAGCTTGAAACTGATCAATGGTAACGGCGGTGCTCGCCACTACCTCTTTCAGCTAAAGAGGCCGCCATTGGAATCCTCAGACGTTAAGTTAGAAGGCGCAAATGCCCTTGGGAAGCTTGAAATACTGTGGAGGACAACTCTTGGCGAAACCGGTCGCCTTCAAACGCAACAAATCAATGGCAGTGTAAGTGCCCGTGAATTTTTTCATGGTGCTGATTGTTATAATTATCCAGCCAACGCCGAAAAAGCCTTTGGACGTCAAGATGACAAACTTGCCGCAGAGAATTCTAATAGAACGGCCATTTCTTGTAAGTCAGTAATATCCGAATGTGATTTAATCGTTTTTTTTTTCGTTTTTCCTAGGTTCGGATGGAAGTTACAAACCGTTCAGAACAATTCACTGGACCGCTAAGAGTTGTCATGTCTGAGACCGATGACAATGGTACACCCAGGACAGTTCTCATGAATGGACTCTTGGCTTGGTAAGATCCTTTCGTTTTACTTTTCCTAGCATTTTTACAATGAGCATATAATCTCAGATGGTTCCTCCACTGGCCCCTCTCGCATCGACCGAGCTGGAAGTTGTAAGTGAGCATAAGTTCTCGGATTCATGAAGATTTAACGGGCACTCTCTCGCAGAACTTGGTGGCGGTTGCCGCAGGTGTGCAGCGAGTAGCGGGGATTTGTCTAGTGGACGCAGACAAGTTGAGTTTGTACCTCCAACCGAGGTAAACTCCGAAGCTTTGCTGTTCGTATCTAATCGATCACGCTGAAACACAGGTATTTGTGGAGGCAGAGTGAGTTTTTTCTTGCCTCCATGCACAGCCAGGTACTGTTTAAAACGGTAAACTCTTTCTTCAATCTGGAAAATTCTAGTTTCCATTAGAGGTGATGTTAATCAATTGTTCTTCCTTCCTGGTTTGTTCCTGCGCGGTTACATTGAAACATCCAGACCCCACGTTGCATTTCTATAAAAGCACGCAAATGTGATCGTCAAAAAAATCGCAAGATTATTTGGAGGGCAATGACATTGTCAATGGGGCCTTTGGATCGATCGCTTCTCTCGCGTCCCGTTTATCATCCTCGTCCAGCAGGAGCTCTCTCGCGCTGCCAATGCCTCGGGGTTAAGGCGGCCTCCACACAGCACTCTCGGAGATCGCCTAGGCCACAAAATGTTCCAGGAAATCTCTATGTGGGTAAGCAAGCAAAACGTTCGTCTTCGTTCCTCCTCAAACTTTCTCCTTGCAATTCCGCAGACCATACTTGCATCGACTGTGATACTTGCCGATGGATGGCTCCAGTTGAGTTCTCTCGTTTATTTAATTTTTTTTTCTAAAATTCGTTTTCACTGTAGAGTGTTTTCAAGCGTGTCGACGAATTATCTGCGGTACACCATCAACCCTCGTCCTCCGACGAAAGACTTGCTGCTTTGCAGGTTTGTTTGTTTGTTTGTTTGTTTTTTTTTTAATTTTTTTTTCTAGCAGCGAGAAAATACTTTTAAATTTTTATTTTATTTTTCCAGGCCTTGTTATCGTGCCCGACAGCATCGATTCACACCGAGAAGCCGCAAGCGGACATAAAAAAGATACAGGCCACCTTTCCACTCGCAATCGACGAGCAAACAGCGCCAGTAAGTTTTAACAAAATCCTCTCGATGTTTCTTGTGTTTCTGATGCTTTGCGTTGTGATTATTTGGCGCAGGGAGTGTATCACTGTGGATTTCACTCGGAGAAGTCATTCGGTGCTGCCTCATACTTTCTCACACGACCAGAAGGCAACATTCTCATTGACAGGTTCTTGGTTCTTTTCCAGTTTCAAGGTTATAAATGGGTTCTTTATCATTGCTCTCAGCCCAAGGTTCACGGAAGTTCTTGCGAAGAAACTGGAGCTCATGGGAGGAGTTCGTTATATGTTTCTCACGCACAAGCAAGCCTTCTCCTTTTTTCTAATTTTTTCTTTTCTCTTTTCATTTTTGGAAAATACTCATGCCTTGGATGATTTTATTTCCACAGGGATGACATTGCTGACCACAAGAAATGGCAACAACGGTTTCAGTGCGAGCGCATCCTCCATTCCGACGACGTAAGTACTTCGCTGCTTGCTTGCTATTCTATTCTCTTTGTTTTGTCCATCTCAACTTTTTTCTTCATTCCAGATACAAGAACACACTCTAGACGTGGAGATCAAGCTTCAGGGCACTGGACCATGGGATTTCATTGGGTCGGATGTGGATCTCATCCACACTCCAGGTCACACAGAGGTACTTTCTTAAGATCAAGTTTTGTCAAGAAAGAAAGCCATCTTTGGCTTTTCTTCCTTAGGGATGTGTGTCCCTTCTTTGCAAACCAAAGCGAACATTGTTCCCAGGAGATCATCTTTTCGCAGACGAGGGCGGCAAAGACGTCTTGATCTCTCATAAATACTTGTTTTACTCTCGTAAGCACTTTCTTTGATTTTGTGTTCTCCTCACTATCCATTTTTCCAGTTGAGCGACAGGTTGAGAGTCTGCGGCTTCTCATTCCTCTTGACTTCATATGGGTTTTGCCAGGTATTTCTCGCAGAAAGCATCATTAGAAGCCTTGAGTTGTTTTTTTCCAGGTCATGGGAGACGAATCAAATTTAAAAATGTGGAAGACAAAAATGCAGCCCTTGAGTCCCTTGTAGCTAAGGAGGAAAAACTTCTAGGCTAATTAGTTTTGAAAGATTTGTGTAAATCTTTTAGTTTTATAATAGAATATAAATGTATAGCAAACCATACTCATGCCCAGATTTATTCACTTTGACTTTCAGGTCTTTATATAGCCTAATATCTATAACCTATTTTGTGCAGTTTTATGTTCTTCAATATATATTTTATAACATCCTGTTTATCGTATTTAAATTTCAAAGTATTTTGCTTGAAATGACTCTATGAAATTCTTTTCATCCAGAGACTTAAACCTCAATTCCCTATCAAACAAAGTACATAATTAGTGTTATTTAAGCCAAAGATTATCAACCCAAGTAAGTTGAGTTGAGAAATTATATCATGAATAATGTTTAATTTAATAAATAATTTTTCTGTATTCCAAGCTTTCATAAAACTTAATGTAACATTGAAATAAGACGTTAAGCACTAAATTATATTATTGAGATAATTATTTCACTAATTGGAATTAAGCTACCCAATTATTAGTTTAAAGTGGACAGTAACCTTGTACTTTTTTGCTTAATACTTATTATATACTTAATATAATTTTTTATATTTGACATCACTTTGGTTTATATAGTTTCTTTATACTTTTTCTGCTATTAAAATCTTATTTATATATAAAATAAATATTTATTTTAAAATTAATATATGAAATTCTATATTTTATATTTTATTACTAACAATTTATACTCCACAAGATTTGAAGTCTTAAATCTTCATAACATTTCAAAATTTGTTACTATAATTAGCTTTAATAGGACAAATTGATGGTTAGAATCTGTTTACCTTTTATGTGGAATTTTTTATATAATAATAAATGCAAAACCTAAATGTGTTAGAGAAAGTAGCTATACATTTTAGAAGAACAGAACAAGAAATACATAAAAGTGAGTGATTCACTTTTATTTTTGTCTTTGAGATCTGTGTGCATATCATGTTAAAATGGAAAAATTGCATAAAAGTTGTTTTATTTGTAAATATGCCCCTTGAAACGCAGACCGTTAGACATGGGATAGAAATTTTGGGTCAATCCTGACAAAAAAAAGCATTATAAATTTGATTTTGACCTTGCATGTAAAGTCCTTGTGAACATCATTCACAGCCACAAAAGCAATGGACACTCTTTCATTGCTAGGAATAGAGGATAGAAGCCATATAAGCTAGCAGCCGTCAAGGCCACTAAAAGCTTACATGAAGACAATGTGTGAGTGCAATTGGTGCCAAACTAGAAACTCGTGCCATGGAAATATTTGAAGCTGATAAACACACAAGGAAAGAATCAAATACTCACTCAGCTATAAACCCACCTATAGCAGCTCATCTATTAAAGCTTTAAAACCTTCAATCTCATTTATCTTGACTAATGCTGGTTCTTAGTCTGGAAAATTTTTAGTTGCAATCCTTTTTGACTAAATCTTTTTCCTTCCTATACACTTTTGTTTTTCCTATCACTCAAGAAGAATTAAATCGAACTTCCTCTTACTGGATCTTGCACCTTTGAGTGAACTGTTCAATCTTCCCAACATAGACATGGGAGAAGACACCATCTGGAATCGTTTGCATGGAGACAGATTACTCTTGGTGGAAATCCAGGCCTGGAAAGAAATAACGCAGTTTCGTTTCACAACTAGATAAGAGACTATGGCTTGATATGTTGTTGCTGCAATCACCAACTCTATTGTCCTTCACAGCAAACTCCAAACGAGATGGTGGAACAACTGTATTACCTAGACAGCACGGCTTGGAATGCACTTGAAACCACTCCTCACTCAATCAGTCACAATAGTCTCTCTTGCATGGGTTGAGCTTTTTTTCAAAAGATGGCTTGCAAAAGCCATAGCATAACCACTTCTCCAAGAATACTTGCCACACATCAGCCCATAGTCCTAAATTGAACTCCTGTATCATGCCATTGGTCCCAACACACACCAAATTCTCCTATACTACAGAACCGGTCGGCTCAAGTTACCATTGACTTCATAAGAGCAGCAACTCTACCTCCTTTGCTGGCTTGAAGTTGAAATCTCCAACATATGATCTAGCATATCTATGACTGCACTTCTACTTCCCCACACTCAACTTTCACCCACATTACTTACCTATGACATGTGCAGATGCTGCAAAGTACCTCAAAGCTACGAAGAAATGCTAATCAACACAGTCAAGCCAACATTTAGAGAGATACAGTAAGTGTGAATGACGAACTTAATGAAAATCTTAGTATGGTCCAGTGCCTAACCAAGTGCTTGTGACTCAAAACATTTATCTATCTAACTCAATCCCCTTGGTTGGCTTGTCAATCACTAAGCCCCTTGTCATTAGTGGTACTCTTCTTTCACTCTCTATTCTCATTATTGTTCTATAAGGCCACACTTGCAGAAAGAAGCACATAATGGAATGCTTCAAAAGATCTCATCCTAATGAGTGACAAACATGAAGTGGAGATAAATATAATTTTTCACATGGAATGTTTCATGTTTCCTGGTTACTCTTAAAAAGAACAAAGAAAAAAAACAACTACTTACATAAATCTTCTACTCCTTACAACTGGTTGATATAAAATATTAAGTACATAGTATTACCAATAATTTACTAGTTTATTTCATAATTTATTGTTACATCTTTTGTTTCACGATGCATTCTATATGTTAGAGTTGAAAAGTTATCATAGACCACTTCTGTTTCCAACATTATCAATTCTTTTATTACTCTTTTTTAATATAATATTACATTATTTAATACTTCCGTATTCCATAAGTTTAGATATAATAAAGAGTTTAGTTGGGACTTTTTGTAAGAGTCCAACTTAGAAGTCTGCTGTGAGTGATGTTGATCGGCATTATTGCACCATGTCAAGAAAGAAATGTATCGGGCGGCCCGGCGGCCTCGCAGCTAAGCGGGCGTGGCAAGCGTTGACCTGCAAAATGGGTGTCTCTCCGATTCTCAAGGTCTGGGTTGATTGATTGATTGATTGATTCTGCTTGATCAGTTCCATACCAGGGCGAGCAGGTTGTCGTCGTGGTTCTGGAGGATGGGCGAGTTACATACTTTGGAACACAAGGGTCTCAGGAAACAGGGAGCCTTTGTTTCTCTATTCATCAGTCGCAGTTGTCGGCGAAGTGCTGCGAGCTGGAGTCGGCCCATTTGCATGCTCATGTTCATCGCAGTGAAGAAATAGAGAAACTCCTACTTGAGCCAGTTAAGTATTGCCTGATAATTTGAAGGTTCCTTTAAGTTTGACAAGTGATCGGCTTGTCAGTGTTCTGTGCCGGATTTTTCCAGCAAGATGGTGGAGGAGAAAACTAACTCATAAACATGGGGCCGAACGTGGTCATCAACGAATAGCACACGGTGACCATTTCGATTGGCTCGTTCCGCTGACTGAAGATTCCTTCACCTTAAGTCATGTGCAAGACTCCAAAGAATTTGAGCACGGCCAACTTCTGAAAGTCGGGGAGTCGCTTGCGAGATTGAACAGCCAGCCGAATCATATGGTGGAAGTGTTCAAGTACGAGGCATCCCAAACTTCTTCACGTATCGATGACAGTGCTGAGGAGGTGAGGATGGATGTCAACGATAAGCAGCCGATCGCTAGAACAAGATTGAACGTTCTTGGGATCTGCTGCGCTGGGGAGATTCCTGCTATCAAAATGATTTTGGAACCGCTTTCTGGTGTTGAAGACGTTTCAGTAAACTACACAACTCGCACCGTTACTGTACTTCACAACCCGTTATTGACACCCGCTTCACAGCTCGGCAAGTTGCTAGTTTCGATCGATTGGTTCACACTCTTAACAAATTATATACAGCTAAAGCTCTTAATGAGGCTAGGATGGAAGCCAGTGTCCTGCACGAAGGACCACACAAGAGTAACCCTGAGTACAAGAGGAGTCTATGGTTACTTGTTTCTGGTGTTCTGCTGGTTCTATCCTTTCTTTATCTGTTTTATCTCCCATTTCAATGGTTTGCCATTGGGACAATTCTATTAGGAGCTCCTGGGATTGCTCTGAAGGCCGTAATGTCATTGAAGCGCCTGAGACTCGACGTCAATGTGTTAATGCTAATTGCCAGTAAGCAGGAAGCTGTGTTTTTTCCATGTCCATAACGCTTTTTTGCCTGTGGCAGTTATCGGTGCAATGGGACTACAAAATTATATAGAGGCCGGCTCTATTGTATTTCTCTTTTCTTTCGCAGATTGGCTTCAATTACGTGCCGTGAAGAAGGTTAAGCGACAATTCTATTAGGAGCTCCTGGGATTGCTCTGAAGGCCGTAATGTCATTGAAGCGCCTGAGACTCGACGTCAATGTGTTAATGCTAATTGCCAGTAAGCAGGAAGCTGTGTTTTTTCCATGTCCATTACGCTTTTTTGCCTGTGGCAGTTATCGGTGCAATGGGACTACAAAATTATATAGAGGCCGGCTCTATTGTATTTCTCTTTTCTTTCGCAGATTGGCTTCAATTACGTGCCGTGAAGAAGGTTAAGCGAGATTCACCTTGAATACTTGTGCTACTTTTTCTTTTTTTAATCTTTTTGATATTGCAGGCTAATGAGGCCTTGGCTTTTGCTGCGGATCTTGTTCCTCAGAATGCCACACTTGCCGATAGTGGTCTGCCAGTTCCATTGAAGGAAATCCAGTTGGGAACGCTGATATCTGTGAAAGCCGGAGAGATGGTTCCAATCGACGGAGTCTTGATTTCAGGGGAGAGCTCTGTAAATGAGAGTAGTCTAACAGGAGAATCGAGACCTGTCGCCAAGCATGTAGGGGATAATGTTTGGGCTGGCACAGTGAACTTATCTGGTAAGCGGGGGGCTTTTAGTCAGCTATATCTAAATAGGATCATACATTTTGCAGGATATTTGGTTATAGAGACCATTTCAACAGCGGAAGACTCTGCGCTTTCAAGGATGATCAAGCTTGTTGAAGAAGCGCAAAGCAAACGTACACATACTGAGCTAGTTGTGGAAACATTCGCAAAGTACTACACTCCTGGTAAGCTTGTCTTCCTCTTCGAAGTACTAACTTCATGTCCCACTTTCCTCGCAGCCGTTTTTCTCGTCGCAACAGCTACAACACTGATCCCACTTCTTCTGTATACAAGCTATGAGAGGCACTGGCTCTATTTATCCCTTATCATAGTGGTGGTGGCTTGCCCTTGCGCTCTCGTGATATCCACTCCTGTCACCGCAACGTGTGCAATTGCTGGGGCTGCAAAGCTCGGGCTTATAATCAAAGGAGGTGACTGTCTCGAGCTTCTAGCAAGTATGAAGGTGGTAGCCATTGACAAGACGGGTACACTCACGGAAGGCCATTTCAGAGTGCTGGATTTTCATGTCGTTAATTGCACTGAGACCGCCAAGTCGGAGCTCCTACAACGGTAAGCTTCTTGTCTTTTGACGGCAAATGAGCTAAAGGAAGTGTTCAATATAGGATTGCTGGCGTAGAGAGCCATTCCATTCATCCAGTAGCTACTGCCTTTGTTGGATACGTTCGGCTACTCGGAATCAAACCTTCGGAAAATGTTGCAGACTTTAGGATTTTGGAAGGTGAAGGAGTGTCAGCTGTTGTTGATGGCCACCTGATTGAGATTGGAAACACTAGGCTGGCGTTTCGGCGGAACTGGCGCACTTGTACGTGTTGAGTATGATTCTGTTCATTCATACTTTTCTGACATATTGTTGGCACTGGCAGCGATGTTTTCACAGCATCTGGAAGAATATGAAAAGCAAGGCGCTACAATTTGCTGGGTTGGCGTCAATGGCGAATTGGTGGGGCATTTCAGCGCTGCAGACAAAGCCCGATCGGAAGCACGTGAAGCCATTGAAAACATAAAGGTGCGGTCTGTTCTGTTGCAGAGATAGTAAAACCATATTCTTCTCTTCCTTCCAGAACTCAGGTGTTAAGGTCCTAATGCTGACTGGGGATAACCAGAGTGCGGCTGCTTGCGTGAGCCATCAGGTACTTCCCTGTAGTAACTCTTTTCGTTTTCTTTTCTAAAGCGTTTCGTTTTCCCTTTTACAGTTGGGTGGCATTGAATTTCATGCCGAGCTACTTCCGCGAGACAAAGTCACGATCATTGAACAGCTAAAAGCTTCAGTCGGCACGACAGCAATGGTTGGAGATGGCGTGAACGATGCACCTGCATTAGCTGCTGCACATATCGGCATCGCAATGGGAGTTGCCGGCTCCGCCATGGCAATGGAAATAGCGGACATTGCGTTGATGATGAACGATCTTCGGAGGTTAGCAGTATTAAGAACAGTCGGGAAAAGCTACAGGAATGTGGTCATGCAGAACATATTCTTCTCCCTCTTCACAAAGCTGGTTGTAGTGGGGCTAGCGGTTGCAGGATATACACCACTATGGGCTGCGGTATTGGCAGATGTCGGAACCTGCGTTTTAGTCACCTTCAACGGTATGCAGCTGCTTTTCAAACATCAGAGCTCAAGAATGTCTAAGCCAGAGGAGGCTAGTGACGGTAGCCGGAATGGTTTGAAGGACAGCGATGCAAAGCAGGATGCAAAACCATCTGTCAAATGCAAAACAGGCTGTTGTGCGGCTTCACAAGCTGGCGGTAGCGAAGATGTTCCCACAAAGCAGGATGCACGCTCTGAGTGCAAGACGGGTTGCTGTAGGCTCATAAAGCCGAAGCTGGTTGCTGATAGTACCGTCGACGATAGTAGCCCGGTGGTTAAGACGAAATGTCAGCGCTCTTGTTGCTTTAGGAACAGTGACAAGCAGGGCTTGCAAGTACCACTCCTCGCTGACCACGTATGATGCTCAAGGTGCCGAACTGCACCACGGTCTGCCCATTTGCTCGTTATGCGACTATCCTTGACAACTAGCTCATACTCTTCAACACTCTCTAAGAGCAACAACATAAGAGCTTTTGGAGAGCTATCCTGCTCATTATCATCTCATGAACTATCCTGCTGACAATGAGTAAGGGAGCTTTCTCTTACTCCATTGTGAGCTCTTGTGCTCACATTAGTGTGAAACTATAAGAATGTTACTGTATGATCTATCCATGATCATATAAGATATCAAAATAACATCTTCCTCGAGATGGTCTTTAATTTAAGTTTAACAGAAGCCCCAAAATATCATATAAAATAATCCTGTTGCAAAAGACTGTTTTTACTTGTTGAGCGCTTCGGCCATCAACACATAAGCGGAGCTCTTCCTGTCGTTTAACGAAACCAAAGAGTCAAAAGCAACCTTTGCCACCTCGATATCTTCCACGCTCTTGCACGACCCCAACACAGTCGTCCATGTCACTGCACTCGCCTCAAAAGGCATCGCTTCCACCATAGCCAGCGCTTCCTCCACCCGGTTGGCTCGCCCCAGAAGATCGACCAAGCAGTGGTAGTGCTCGATGCTCGGTTGGATCCCAAACTTCCCAGGCATCGCCTCCAAGATGTGCTTCCCCTTGTCAGCGAGCCCGGCATGGCTGCAAGCCGTGAGAACCGATACCAGAGTGAGCGAGTCGGGCTTGAGATACAGACCAGCACCATTGCTCTCTCCTTGTTCTCTCGCGGCTGCTTCGTCCAGCATCTTCGAGAACGTCTCGAAAACTTTGCCGCTGTCTCCCTGCTGAGCATAGGCCGCGATCAAAGCGTTCCAAGTCGCTGTCCCGCATGGACCCGAGCAGTCGAAAGTTCGCTGTGCCCCGGCCACGCTGCCACATTTCCCGTATAGATCGACCAAGCAGCTCACCACCACAGGGTCTTGCCCGATCCCGTGCCGGCAAGTTTCCTCGTAGACGGCTTCTCCGGATCGCAAGTCCGAGCAGACCGCACAGGCCTTCAATGCGGCAGCGAAAACTCGGACATCCAGGTGACACCCCTCCGACTTCATGAGCTGGAAGATCTCTAGAGCTGCTTCGCCGTCACCATTCTCGGCGTATCCCAGAACCAGTGTCGTCCACAGAACAACGTCGCGAGTAGCGCTTGGAGCTTTGTCAAAGACCCTGCGGGCGTCCACCATGCTTCCACACTTTGCGTACATGTCGATGAGGCTGCTGGCAACATAGATACTGGACTGGCAGCCGAGACTTCGAGCGCGGGAGTGAACGGCCATGCCTTTCTCCAGAGAGACGATCTTCGTGCCGGTCCTTGACTCGACGCTTTCCCTGGACGCGAGTGAAGAACAGGCTCTGATCACACCAACGAACGTCCAAGAGTCCGCTACGCCGCCACAGCATTGCACGAATTGCTCAAACCAGCCGAGAGCCATTGTGTCATCTCCGTTTTCAGCATACCCGAGGATCAACGCGTTCCAGCAAACCACGTTGAGCCTCGAAGTTCTGTCGAACACGGCCTGTGAGTCTTCCATGCTCCCACACTTCGCGTACAAGTCGATCAAACTGCTAACAACGTGAACGTCCATGTCAGAAAAACCACATTTTGAAGCTTCGGAATGAACGCACATACCTCTCTGCAAGCTCTTGATCTTGACAAGTTTACCCTCGACTTGAGTAAGCTGTTCGATCGAGGCAAGGCCAGAGCAAGCCTTGAGAACTGCCACAAACGTTTGAGAGTTGGCTCCATGGAAGCCGACACCGCTAGCGAAGATCCCGAAAGCCAGATCAAGCTCATCGTTCTCGGCATATCCCTGTATGAGCGAGGTCCACAAAACCACGTCGTGATCTCGGCCAGGTATCCCATCGAACACTCTGCGAGCTTCTTCCATCCTTCCACACTTGGCATACATGTCAACCAAGCTGCTCGCTACGAATATATCCGTCTCGGAGCCCGCCATGGAGTGAATAGCCATGCCTCTCTCGAGAGAAAGCATCTTCACAACCTGTCCGGCAACCAAGCTTGCCTTCTCCTTCACAGCTACACAGCCACAGGCCTTGATAGCAGCGACAAGAGCTCGACCATCCACCTGGAAGCTCCGGAAGAAACGCTCAAAAATCTCTAGAGCTGTCTCGCCATCTCCGCTTTCCGCATAGCCGGAGATCAGCGCTGTCCAAGACACTGCATTTCTCTCGGGCATTCTCTCGAAGATCCTCCTCGCATCGAGCAAGCTCCCACACTTGGCGTACATGTCCACCAAGCTGCTAGAGACGTAGAGATCCCGCTCAAAACCATCTTTGGCTGCTTGGGAGTGGAGTACCATGCCTCGCTCCAGCGATCTCTTCTTCACGAGAACTCTCCCATCCAGAAGCGTCGCCTCTTCTCGCGCCGCCAACCCAGCACACGCCTTGACAGCGGCAACAAACGTCCGAGAACTGGAAGAACACCCATTCTCTCGCTGGAACTGCTCGAAATATCCCAGAGCGATCTCGCTGCCCGGACCCCCAGCCTCGGCATAGCCACCGATGAGCGCGTTCCACGAGACGACATCGCGAAATCCCATGCCCTGGAAGACCTCGCGGGCCTCCTCCATGCTCCCGCATTTGGCGTACATGCTGATGACGCTGTTGGCCACAAACACGTCCGATTGGAGCAGCCCGCGCTGGATTGCGACGCCATGAATCCTCCTCACCTCGCCAAGATCCCTCGACGCGCCGGCGGCCTTGAGCGCAGCGATTAGAGCGCTCTTGAGCGATCTGGTATTGCCGCGGGGTCGAGAGCTCTGATCGGACCTAAAATCGGGGCAGCTCGCGATCGATTGCGCCAGCATTGTAAGACATCTCACCTGCAGAGCGTAAACCCTAAAACTACGAGAATAGAGAGAATATGGCCTATGCAGGTTTCGAACCTGCGACCTTGGCGTTATTAGCACCACGCTCTGACCATCTGAGCTAATAGGCCTACTTTTAAATTGAAAAGAATATTCCACTTTAATTGGTGTTTCTAGGGTTTGAGTTTCTCGGGGATGGAGTTCTTAGAGCATGGAATCCAGCAGCTAGCCGATTAAGGTGAAATCTAGGGGGATTTTGCTATGGAAGAGAAGCCTGGTAAGCTACATTCGATCACTCTACAAGTTCGTTTCTTTTGTGAAGATTTTGGATGGAGATGAAGACGCTTCTCCCGCTGCGCTCTTCGGGCAGCTCCTATGAGTGGGCCGTGGGTGTCCAGCGCGTGCTAGCGGATCTCTCCCGGGGACCGGCGGCTAGCCGTGTCAAATCCGGGGAGAATCTCTTCGATTGCATTCTCGAAATGCGGCACGAGACGGGAATGCAAGACTATGCCATGCCCGAGAACGCAAGTCGTGGCTTGGATTTGTTCTTTGGAAAGGTCAGCTAGGTACGCTTTGCTTCCCAAGCTTTGTGTTTTCTTACGTTTTGCTTCCTTCAGCTTCTTCCTCAAAATTTGGCCCGCGAGTTCTTTCATACAACTTTGCCTTCCATGGCCAAGCTTGCGCTCGATCTTCCCAATCTTTTGGATGAGCATGTAAACAAGGGGCAGCTCTACGGGTTTGGAGTGGAGCATCGCTTGAGAGTTCTTTCGTCGCAAGAGCCAGGGATTGTCATGCTCAGTCAGGTGTGATGCCAGCTTCTTTGTTCCATTTTAATCTATTTTTCTCCTTTTGTTTTCCAGGAGTTCATCGCGTGTCTCTTGACGTGTTCATTTCTTTGCCTCTATCCTTCTCAAGATAGAGACAAGTATAATCTTCCTGGGATCAACTTGAACAAGTTTTATGCGTTAGTGTTTGTTCCCTGTGTGTTTTTCTTTGGTTTTTTTTTTTTTTTCCTTCTCTTACACGGCTGGTTCATTTCGTTTCAGGTGCATATACGAGAAAAACCACGATCGAGCAAGCCAACAACACAAAATGTTGTGCCTACTGCACTACTTTGAACGAGTGTGCCAAGGGATGCCACATGGAATGGTTTCTTACGAGCGTAAGGTCCTGCTTCCTTGGCAAACTAGCGACATTCTTCGTTTCTGGAGCACATCCAGGGTACCTTTGTGTAAATTTCAGGTACGCACGTCATTCCTCTTGCAAGATTTAATTTTCTTCATCAGGTGTCTGCGACTGGCGACATTAGCAATCACATTGGTGGCGAAGCCTTGGAGGTTGATTTTGCAAACAAGTATCTTGGCGGTGGCGCTCTTAGAGCTGGCTGTGTACAGGTAATCTCTTCTTCATTCACGGAAAATTAACCGCTAGGGCTCACCACGCAGGAAGAGATTCGTTTCATGACCAATCCCGAGTTGATTGCGGGAATGCTGTTCTTGCCTATGATGGAAGACAACGAGTCCATAGAGATATTTGGAGCTGAATGCTACTCCAAATACGAAGGGTAAACTCCTTCAAGTTTCCATTTCAGTTGCTTAAGTTTTTGTGCTTTCAGTTATGGAAAAAGCTTCACTTTTGTTGGCGACCATCAAGACGAAAGGCCACGAGATCAATGGGGCCGACGAATGACGCGGATTGTAGCTATAGATGCACTCGCAAGGCCGGGTGCTCAGCAATACAAATCTGTACTGATCCTACGGTAAGCTGGCTAGTTTTGTCTCGTGACTTCTACAGCTTTTCTTTTTTTTTTGCAGCGAGGTGAACAAAGCCTTCTGTGGGTTTCTGGACCGACATGGAGGTGAAGATGTTGGCGTAGCAACTGGAAACTGGGGATGCGGTGCCTTTGGTGGTGATCTGGAGCTCAAGAGTTTAATTCAATGGTTGGCTGCTTCGCAGGTAATAGCCTTTCACGAAGCTTCTTCCAAGAGAGTAAAGTCCGTGCTTTGTGCAGGCTGGGAGAGCATACGTGAAGTATTACACTTTTGCTGATCCACGCGCTCAGCGGCTGGAAGAGGTAAACAAGCTATTCTTTTTTTCAAGTTTCTCACTATGATACAGATTGTGGAATGGATGTCACGAGAATCCTGGACAGTGGGAGATCTGTGGAACATCCTGCTCGACTATGGAAGCAAAAGAGAAGCTGGTGTAATCGACTGTGGCTTGTTCGAGTGGCTTCGACCGGTCACTGGACTGAGAGCTCTATTCTCACAGTTGACGAGCATCTTTAGCAGGCGAAGCTCGGTCTAGAGGACCAACAATCACCCTCTTGCTCGGCCACTCGACAACCTTCTCAAAGTACTCGCACGGGACACACCCCTCGAATCCTTCGGTGAGAACCACATTGTTGTCCGAGACGTAGAACTTCATCCCGTCCGCCATAGCCTTTTCAGTGTCGAGGTAAATCAGAACTTGGCAAGAGCTTCTCATTCCGCTGATGACTCCATTCTCGTCAGGCAGGCCCGTGGCGAAGTGGACGTGGTTTCGTCCCATGACTTTGAGACCACTCTCCAAGATGCTGGGAAGAGCGTGCTTGTAAGTTCCGTGGATACAAACTGGAATCTTGTCCGTGGACGAGATCTCTCGCAGGAGGTGGTCGGAAAGAACCTCTTTGATCGAGTGCCCCTGGTTTGCGCGGATGTAGAGCGTCCCATCCTCCCGGGTCGTCGAGAAGCGCTGCTTGTTATCCTGCTTCACGGCCTGGAGAACTTCCTCCACGGAGTGAGAGCTGAGTGGTATCCCAGCTCTAGTTTTCATTCCAATCTTTAAGAGCTCGTCCACCTTGCAGTAGCCATCGCTCCGGAGATCCAGATTAAAAGTCGCAGCTTCGTGCCTCAAGATCTTGGTCATCGCTCGGCCTAGAGCATCGATTGGATCGGCCTCTCCTCCGGATCCTCTTCTGAGTGTTTGTGGGCGATTGGAGAGAGATTTGAATCGAGGCTTACCCGGATTTTTCGAGGACGCCATGATCGATCGGCTGCATAGCCCTAACGCCGCTTTCCCGGCCGCTAGCATCACACCCAAGAACAAACTTAGGGCTATGGCTTTAAACTTGTGGCAATGTCACTGGTAAATGCTCAGGCAATCACAGGGCTATCTGCGATGGATTGTGGAGAATTTCCGATCGTGCAAGGAGTGGCCGTGGGTGGATTCTGCAAGAACTTTGCTCGATCAGGATATTGCCAATGGATCCTCCATCAAGCAATCCCAATTCTCAGTGCCCAACACTGGATTGATACTCGATCGGCCAGCATTCGATCGGGAGAACGCCCAATTCGGGGTTTCCAGCAATGGATCGTCCATTGAGCCGTGCTGGGTGGATCAGGAGCTCGAAATCTCAGAGCCCAATACCGGGCTCTATGGATCGCTGCTCAAGCGCTGCGTGGATCGCCGGGATCTTGAGGCCGGGAAGCGCATCCACGCGCACGCGGTGGAGAGCGGCTATGCCAGGGATTCGTACGTGGAGAATTTCTTAATCCAGATGTATGGAAAATGCCGGCGAGTGGATCTCGCCCGCGCGGTGTTTGACGCGATGCCCAGGAGGGATCTATTCTCCTGGAACATCATCATCACAGCATATACCCAGAATGGGCATTCACTGAAAGCGTTAGAACTCTTTCAAGTGATGCGAGACTCCGGGTTCAAACCAGATGTGTTCGTGCTCTCTAGCGCAATGGGAGCGTATGCCCGGTGTGGGCAGATTGATCGAGCAAGAGAAATCTTTGATGCGATGGAGACGAGAGATCCGGCAAGCTGGACCGCGATAATCTCTGCATATGCCCAGCAAGGGGATCCAGCCATGGCTATGGAGCTCTACTGGCGGATGAATCTCGAGGGAATGGAGCCCAATCGGCTAACATACGTGAGCTTACTGGGGGGCTGCGCGAGCCTCGGCGCGCTAGATCACGGGAAATCGATCTACTCGCGGTTCCTGACAAGGGGATTCCAGGCGGATCTCATGATCCAGAGCGCGCTGCTCAATCTCCACTCCAAATGCGGCAGCCTCGAGGACGCGAGAGCGCAATTCGCGACGATCCGTGACCGGGACGCGGCGGCATGGACGAGCATGATCGAGGCATCCGCGCGGCATGGGCGGTACGTGGAAGCGGTGACTCTCTACCGCGAGATGATGCTCGATGGCGTGACGCCCGACGCGGTCGCGTACGTGGCGGTGCTGGGGGCGTGTGCGGCGCTGGGTGCCGCCGCGGTACACGTGGGACGGTCGGTTCATGCCGCGCTGCACGCCGCCGGTCTTGGGCACCACACGCGGGTGTCCACCGCGCTGCTCAACATGTACGGCCGGTGCGGCAGCCCGTGCGACGCGCGGCACGCGTTTGAGCGGATGCACGCCAAGGACGTGGTGGCGTGGAACGCGATGCTCCGCGCGCTCGCCCGCCACGAGCGGTACTCCGAGGCGTTTGATCTCTTCCTCGCGATGGACGCGCCGCCGGACTCGATCACGTTTGGGACGCTGCTGACGGCGTGCTGCTGCGGCGCGGCGCTGGGCCATGGTCGGCGCATCCACGAGCGGCTTAAGCTCCACCATGCCGCCGGCGGTATCAAGCTCGAGGTGGAGATGTACAACCTCCTGCTCAACATGTACGCCAAGTGTGGCAGCATCGAGGAGGCCCGCGCGGTATTCGAGCGCATGCCCGCGCGGACTCTCGTGGGCTGGAACGCCATGGTCGTGTGGTACGCGCGGTACGCCATCCCCAGGGAGGCGCTATATCTCTTCCAAGAGATGGCCTCGCTCGACGGCCTGGAGCCCGACGTTGTGAGCTGCATTGGCGCGCTGGCGGCGTGCGCGAGCCTGGGCTACCTTTCCGAGGGCCGCGCGGTACACCGCGCATGTACCGTGCGGATCACGACCGGCGACGACCAGCGCCGCGACGTCGTGCTGTGGACGAGCCTCGTCAACATGTACGCGAAATGTGGCGAGATTGAGGAGGCGAGCTTGGTTTTCGAGGAGATGGACGAGCGCAACGCAGTCTCGTTCAACGCGATGATGGCGGCATTCGCCCAGAACGGGCATTTGGATCGGGCATTGGGGCTGTACCGCCGGATGATCTGCGAGGAGGGCCTTGACGCCGACGTCGTGACGCTGCTGTGCTTGCTCGTGGCATGCAATCACGCTGGGCTTTACGCGCAGGGCAGGGATCTCTTCGTCCAACTGCGCGGCGACCACGAGTGGATCGCGCCAGCGGTGGATCACTACCACTGCCTGGTGGATCTGCTGAGCCGGGCGGGGCGGATAGATGTCGCGGAGGAGATCTTGGTGTGGATGCCGTTCCAGCCGGGGGCGATTGGGTGGAAATCGCTGCTGAATGGGTGTGCCGTGCACGGGGATCCGGTGCGAGGGGCCAGGGCCGCCGCGATCGCGTGCCGCTTGGATCCGGTCGACTCGTCCCAGTACGTGCTGCTGTCCAATGCGTATGCCTGGAATGATCTCGAGGATGTGAGGAAAACGCTGGATCTCTGCGAATCGCAAGAAATGTAAGAATCGAGAGAGTTCTACGATTGATTTCTATGTAAGATCAACGCGAATGATCTTGCACTGGGCAAACAGTATCGTTCTTGCAACTTTGTGCTGGGCTCTCGAATCATCCCTGGTAGAATGTGTTCTTGGTGCCGGATCCAGTGGCTGCCGCTGTGTTGGCATCGGGATCCCGCCCCTCCTTGGTGATTCTCACGCCCGTGTTCTTCTCGATCACTTTCACCATTTCTCACAGATTCACAGTTTAAAATACAGCATATTCAACAGAATATGCGGTAGTATATTCTTTAGTACTTCTACTTTTGAAGTTATTAATATACTTGTTATTGTAAAGGCCTATTAGCTCAGCTGGTCAGAGCGTGGCTCTAATGAGGCTAAGGTCGCAGGTTCGAAACCTGCATGGGCCATTACCTTTTTATTGTTCATGGTTTCACTTTTCAAAATTACTTATTGAAACTTGGAAAGTTGAACAGTTCACTTTAGCTCGAATTTTTTAAAAGATCCAGGTTACCATACTTTCATTCTCTTTAGCTCGGGTTCAAGAGAAAGTGGTGATGGTGGCTCCTCTTTCTTTTTCACACTCATCACAGCATTGGCCACTTCCTCCTCTGTGGTTCCAAACAGATCAGGCCTCGCTGGAGCCAAGCTCATGACGTTTCGCGCGATCTCCTCGTCGCTGGCAAGCGTGCCCAAGTTTCTCCGCTTGCTCATCATCCTTTCCTTCTCCTCCTTGAACTTGGGATGGATGAGCGAGATCCTCATGTGTTCCTCCATCTCGCTCACGGGTATCAACTCTGAAGTTATCGGACAGATGACCATCTTGGTATGCGCATACTTATCGCCCATCTCGATCATCTCCTCGGGCCTCTTCCAGTTCCTCACAATCGTCATTGGTGGCTCTTCGCCCGCCGGGACAATCACTTGGAAAAAGTCCTCGCCATTTGTTCTCCCCTCGTCGGGGAAATGATCCTCAGGCAACGTGATATCGATCACCTCCTTGCGTCTGATCACGTCCATCTGCGTCACCGGAGACGGCAACGCAGCGTCCTCCTCGTCCACGAACTGGATCGTCTCCACCACCACAAACTCATGCCAGTCGATGCTGTTCATCCGCTCATCGTCTTCCTCGGCCTCGTCCCTCAACTTCTTTTGCGATTTCTCCCATTCGGCACGGTGGAGGCACCGCTCCAGGATAACGCTCTTGTCCAGCTCTCGCTTGAGCTTGTCGATCAGCGCCGTGGGAGCTTCCAGCAACTTGGAGTACGAGTGGCACAAGCCCTTGAAGATCTTGTGCAAGCTACTCTCCGGTTTGAGGAAGCTAAACTGGAGGTTGTAGTGTTCCCTGCTTGCCAGTCCGGTAAGAAACTCGCCGCCATGTCTAGCCGCGAAGATCGCCGTGAGCTTGATGATGTCTACGTCCTTTGCAGAGAGACCCTCGGGGAAATCGAGAAGGAACTCCTCCGGCTCCGGCTCTTGCAGCTCCACCACCTTGGAAGGCTCGGTGCTCTGCAGATCTTGCAGGAGAGTATGAAACTTTCGCGAGGATGGATGATCCTCCAACGGCGGTGGCTTGGATTGAGCTTGCACAGCAGCTGTGATCGAAGATGGAGCGCCGGAGCTCTTCGCTTCCGAGATTTTGTGCTGGTAATACGCGTGGTAGGGATCGGAGGGTTTGAGGAAGCTGAACTTGAGGATCTGATTGTCAGCCGTGATCTTGCGCTCGAACTCGACACCATTCCTGGCCACAAAGTGCGCCGTCTTATCGACGATACATCTGATGCCAGGAGGAGGATGGATCATACCTGGCTGTGATCTCGAAGCGATCGACGCTGCCGCCATTTGGATATCCTATTGCGAAGAACCCTAGCCCAGAAAAAAGGCTTAATCTATCCACTCTAGCATATTCTAGAGAATATTCTAGAGCGAGAATATTCCCTGCATAGAGGGGTTTTCGTGCTTCCATGGTGAGTTCTAGGGCCGCTGTTCCATGGCATTATTTGCGCAGCTAGGGGCGATCCGCTGATCGCCTCGATCGACTGTTGCGGCAGATGGATCCTGCCAGGTGGAGGCTGAGAATTCTTGCGGTTTTGAGCTGCTGCTGCTGCTGGATTTCGTTTTGTTGCGGATCTATCCATCGCTACCAGCTGAGCCCCTTCAAGCCGTGGGACAATGGCTACACTTTCTTCGGAGGCAGCGAGGGATTGTATGCGAGCGGGAAGTCTCCGTCACATATCAAGTAAGATTCCTTCGCCCAATTACTTCTAGTGGAAGCATAGATTAAGCTTCTTCTTTCCAAGCATTCATAGATCTAGAAACTCTTTCCTTTTTTTGTTTGCATTTCCATCGTTAGTGTTTCTTTCTAGCATCCATAGCTCATTGGTCTTTGAGGTCTACACCTAGATGTAGAAAAAAGGAAGTGTAGAAATAGTGTTTCATTCTTCTTTCCTCAGCATTCATAGCTCATTGGTTTGATCTTGAAGTTAGAAAGAGAAAGACATTGTCGCCAGTAGTTTAACCTTTCGATCTTCGCAGCTTCAACGTCCAGTTTAGACGAACCGTGGAGTCGGCTGCGAGGCACGAGACGATGGAGCACAGCACAGGTCTAGTCGAGGCACTCCTTTTCACGCTCGAGGATCGTGACTTCATCGGAGTCACAAACTCCACCGGCGAGAGGATGCTGTGCTGCACTCCCGAGGCCTCCAAGCTCTCGAATTGCCGCATTGGCGAGGTGATACTTCGCAAGCGTGAAAACGGCTGGCCGAAGACCTTCCAGACGTCCTTCCAAGGCAACAAGCTTGTAAACAGCTTCTCCGAGGACGTGAACGTGACCGAGACTGGGCTCTACACGCTCTACTTCGTCTTCTGCGAGCCACAGCTCCAAGGCTTGCAGATTCGCGGCAGAACGATATGGCAGAGTCCCACAGGCTTTCTTCCGGGGAGGATGGCGCCGCTCCTCAAGTTCTACGGCTACATGTCGCTCGCCTATCTCGTCCTGGGAGTGATCTGGTTCATCCAGTATGCGCGCTTCTGGAGAGACATCCTCCAGCTCCAGAACTGTATCAGCGTGGTGATCTTCCTGGGACACGCAGAGATGGCTTTGTGGTACTTCGACTACGCCAACTTCAATGCAACGGGGCGGAGGCCGATGGGGATCACCGCCTGGGCCGTGACCATCGGAGCCATGAGGAAGACGGTGTCTCGGCTCTTGGTGCTCATAGTTTCTATGGGATACGGGGTGGTGAAACCGACGCTGGGTGGGATCACGAGCAAGGTGTTGCTGTGCGGTGGGGCGTATTTCGTTGCGATCGAGACGTTGGAGCTGGCGGAGAACGTCCAACGAGTGGATGATTTCTCCAACAAGGAGAAGTTACTTCTGGTGCTTCCAGTGGCGATCATCGATGCGTTATTCATACTCTGGATTTTTTCCTCGCTGTCCAAGACTCTGGAAAGCCTACAGGTTCTTTCTCTCTTCTCTGTTTTCCTTCCTCTCGTTTTTGCTCTCAAGGTTTGGACTTATAGGCAAAGAAGCAAACCGCTAAACTGGAACTGTACAAGCGCTTCACCAATTTTCTTGCATTAGCAGTCATAGCATCAATAGTTTGGATTGGTTACGAGGTATGGCACGTAAGATAGCTGACAATCTCTGGAGGCTGACTCGAATTTTTATTTCCAGTTCTACTTAAAATCTACAGAGGCATACAACATCCAGTGGCAAAATGCGTGGGTGGTTTTAGCGTTTTGGATAGTTCTGTCTTATGTCATGCTCTGCGTGATTTGCTACCTATGGAAGCCATCACAAAACTCCACAAGGTAACAAGATCATGTTTGTGTTATGTTGACTTGAGATTTTTTAAAGGTATGCCTACTCGGAGGAACTTGGCGAAGACTGTGATCCCGAGGAAGCAATCCAGCTTACTAGCAATACGGATTCATCAAATGGTCGCTTGAACGGTTCTGTAGAGAAAAAGAACACTGAGATAGACGTCTTCACACTTGGAACAGTTGGAGAAGAAGATAAACGAGACTAATGCAATTCAAAAAATCATTGTTATTTTGATAATTTGCTCCCTTCGTAGATCTTAGGATTAGCAAAATATAGTATTTTAAGGTTTTCTAGGAGATATTTAAATAATATTCTTGTTTTTATTCTTATTATGTCACCTTATAGATCCATGACCATAGCTTGGAGGGACCAGAGAGGATGAGGTTGTGAGGGGGAAGTGCTTTTTAGGAGGAGAGTTTTTTATGTTTTCTATGCTCTTGTTGAGAGGCTGCATTAATTCCAATTTAGATATCAAGAAAAGAAAATTTTATACTTAAGACATCAAAGTTATTAAATTAAAGCGTGAAGAAAAATAAATATTAAATATGAAGTGTAAACTCTTAATAATTTTTATTATTTTGTTAATAAAGCTCAATTTTATTATTGCACCTAAGAAGTATACTCCTACAATTGGAAGACCAGGAATTTTAAAATTTCAAGATATTACTAAAATAATTGCAGGGGTTAATGGTTTGCTACATAAAATTGATCATAATGGTAAATATCCTATAACTTATTCAGATGAAGATAGAATATTAACATCTAAAGGATATGTTGATTTGATAGTTAAAGTTAAAGATCAATGTTTACTCAAAGAAACAGTTACAGAAGTTGTAGGAAATAACATCAAACGTGGAATTGATCGACTTTTAGAACTTAGTAAAGATTATTTATATGAATCACTTACAGACTATTTTGAAAAAGAAAGTCAAAATTATCTTATAAGATATAAACTAGATACTACATCAGAGGAATTAACATATCAAAATAACATTACAAATTTTGACAATATAAATGGTTGTTATATTAGCATAAGTACTTTATTTTCTGATTCAACTGTACATGTTAATAATTTCTTAATATCTCAAAATGGTAAAAATATGTTATTGTTAGAATACAGTTGTAAATTAGTCTTATATTCATTAAACCAAAAAATTTGGGAATCAAAACTTAAATCAAATAGTTTTGGTAATTGTTTTCTAATTCTTCAGCAGGATGGTAATTTGGTTGTTTATTCTAATAAAAAGGCTTTATGGGCTACAGATAAATATTGTAATAATTGTAAATTGTCAACACTATTTACTGTTCAAAATAACTGTAATTTAGTTGTCTACCTATCAAAGTTTCCTAATAATGTTTTATGGGCATCCGATAAATTATGTCTATATTAAATATAATAAAGATTAATCTTTAAATATTAAAGATACAGATTAAGGTTTATACTTTTAAGTATAAAAACATTATTCAAATTTACTGCTATTTTATAATAACTATTTTTAAAAATATATTTTATTTATAAACTTCTGCTTTGTAAAAAATCTTTGTGTCTTAAGGCTTATAAAATTTGATATCCTAATGGTTTAGTTATAAATGGGTTTGTTCTTGGCTTTTATTATAACTTATTATATTCAAATTTATTTTAATATTTCTATATTTATATTTAACAATAGCACAATATTTTACAAAAATCATTTATATTTAAAATTAAATTTATATTTAATATAATTCTTGATTATTAATATATATAATCATAATTTTTGTCCAATTATATTTTAATTTGGTTAATATTATATTAATAAATTTTATAGATTTCAATAAGTATTTATTAAAAGAGATAGTTGTGTTATTTGTGTATTTTTATGTATATATAAACTATAAGGTCTGTAAATACACACACACACACACACACACACACACACACACACACATATATATATATATATATATATATATATATATATATATATATTACCCTACTTATGTAATATATTAATTAAAGTACTATAGCATATTCCATCTATTATTGTATATAAGGTTGTAAACCTCAATTAATAACCTATTCCTATATCCCAAGCATTCACATTGGTGAAGGTGAAGGGCACTATAATTTATCTTTGGAAGGTAAAGTTTTTTAGTAATGCTTTGCTCTAGTATTCAAGACTGTACTTTTGTTTTTATTCTCTTTTTTTCTTTTAGCTATTGTTGTGCTTAGATTTGTTCTTCCTTTTGATATTTATTACATTCATTAATCAAGAAGTATATCACTTAAGGTTACTAATGTTGAGCTTTTGGTGTTGTTCTTTTAATATTTATTGCATTCATCAATCAAAGAGAATATCACTTTAAGGCTACTAATGTTGAGCTTCTTTGGTGTTGTGGAGCATGATTATATTAATGTTGTGCCCATTTTTGGTATATTACTCTCTCCACCTTTCAAAAACATGATTACATGACTTCTTTTATTTTTAGTGTTTTGCTATTTTCTATTGATATGGAGTTTTGCCATCTCCTATTGATATGGAGTGTGATTATAAGCTCGAATGAATTCTAGAGTGTGACAATGAACTTGATTATTATAGAAATAATTTTGGAAATAAGTTGGAAATTTCACAGGGTAAATGTTAATCTTTAAACTTTTAAATTTAGACTTCCTGAGATGTCATCCAACCCAAACCCAAAATCTCTTAACCCTAAATATCCTAAAGCCCTTAAGATCGTTTCTTGAATCATTCTCTTTAGTTGCTTATATAATCATTTAATTTTCCATTTAATTCTTTCTCTTTACTTTTTGCTCTTTTTTAAATTTTTTTTTAATTTGAGCCACCTTCTTATATTCTTAGTGTTTCTTCCTTATCTACAATATTTTCTTTTCTTAGCATGTTAATCATTTATGACTTTTATAATTTTCATTTTTAGCCTAATGTTGAGTTAAGTGTTTTCTGTCCTCTTTATACTACTCTAGATATTGAGTATATGTATGTGTATAAAGTTGAAAATCTTTTTTATATTTCATTGGCAGAGTTTTTGATCAGTTTTAGTGTTAAATATTCTTATATTCCAAAAGTTGAGTCACTTTGGCCAAAATTTCAAGTTAAGTGTGTGTACCCATTTGTAAATATTGTTTCATGCCTTTGCTTTACCGTTATTGCTAAGGAGTTAATATATTCCCTTGAGAGTATTGATTTTCTTGTCTTAAATGGTTAATTGTGTGTTGAGGAGGTTAAACGGTATGAATCTTTTGCTTATATTGTCGTGGCTTAAGTATTTTATGATAGGAAGTCTTTTGTTTTCAAAACTTTGAGCACATGTCTTTTTTATTTCCTTATTTTTGCATTAACAACTATTAAAAATTCCTACTTTATTCACTTTTTTTTTTTATAATGATTTTTCCTCAATTTTTCTCACTTTCTCCTCTTTGCTCTGACACTTCAAACTTTTTTTTCTTTATAGGAAGGGGTAGAGGGGATAGACAGTAGTTCGGCCCCAACAATAGAGTGAGGATAAACAAATATAATAGTAGAGCGAAGATAAATGATATAGATTGTGGAGTGAGAATGACTATAGCAAGTCCAAACAAAACATATAACCCCAACATAGTGAAGCCAAAAAAATGAAATAATGGAGTAAAGATGAGTATACAAAAGTTGGTGCTTCAAAATGTTTTTTTCTTCAAGGGGATAAAAAGGATGTGGAGGACAAATGGAGTGAATTCAACCTCCTATGTGTAGTGCTAAACAAAGATGAAAATCAATATTGACCAAAGGGAATATATAAAAGTAGGTTTTACTTATGGTTATGAGTTTAAATTAACAGTTATCTTGAAGGATTATCAATGAATTGACTTAAAGGCAAAATGTATCATTTATTACAATGGCATTTTATGGATTATAGTAATTCTTGAAGTCTCTTTCTTTAATTCAAAGTTATGGGTTTAAGGTTAGTTTGAGCATTTGGTAGTTGTATATAGAGTTGTAATTAGTTCATTAAGATTTTATAATCAATTGATAGTTATGGCATGACTTTGAGTTTTGTTTTAATCATGGTTGTCAACAACTACATTAGTGGTTATATGGGAGCTTTAAATTCTTGTAACAATTTATAATTACCCAGCAAAAACTCTAAATGTTCCATTTGACTTATGGTTATTATGTTTTCATCTTTTGGAAGGGTGGATGGTGTAAAGTCTATAAATACATATATGTATATACATATATTACCTTGCCTAGATAATATGCTAATTATAACACTATAATATATAATCATCCATTTGGGATATAATTTAGTCCATATGTGAGTGCATGGAATATGGAAAGGGAATACAGAAAATGTACATATCAATTAGCCCAAAAACCCTCATTTATATATAGGAGCAAGTGTTCTGGATTGAAACCAATCCAACGGCTACCAAAATCCCACTATATTAATATTAATATACGGCATTATAATCATACATTTGGACCTCAGATCATCCCCTCCTCTTGGAATAATGGAAGACCATTAAGGTTCTTTTGTAGATGGGTTGGGATTTGGAAGAACGTTAGGAGGAGGCATCGGTGGATTTGTAGGTGGTATCAATTGTTCTTACTCCCTTTGTATGAAGTGTTTCAATTATTACACATACACAATTTCTGGAGGATTAGCTTGCTAGACATCATACCAAACCTCATAAGCTTGTGGTTCAACTTGCCACAACACCCAAAACAGCCCTTTCCACTAAGCAAAAAGCCTTTTAAATAAACCATTTACCGTAAGATAGTGAAAACAAACTAATATTTAATAAACCATTTACCGTAAGATAGTGAAAACAAACTAATATCAAGTCAACCACTTTGAACTCTGCAAGTGGATAATGATGGGAGTTGTAGTGCTATTGTTGTCTCATTTGTATGCGACTTAAGTGTTTTGCAGACTTTGCTTGTCAAATACTAATCCCACAACCTAGCATTGGCAACTTGTGGCAATTATGAAGGTAAACCCACCTCCGTTGGTAATATTGAATCATGACTATAGTGTAAGCAACTAAAGAGAACGACTTGAGAGATGGTCCATGGGGTTCAAATATAGAGGGAAAGGGCCCATGAACAAGAGTGCACCCCCTTTTCCAATCGGTTAAGGGATCTTAGGATATTTAGAGTTAAGCGTCCTTGGGTTTGAATAGTACTGGGCTGGGTGACCTCCTGGGAAGTCCAAACTCAGGAGCTTACATTTGGTATTGGAGCGGTCTCGGGTCAGACTCT